CTGAACACAGTCTGCCTCTTTTCAGAGCAAGCCGGCACACTGTTCACACCCAAAACAAACGTTCTGTTTCCTGGTGAGTGTGTTGTCACTGAGACGCCCAGTTACTCTGCAAGGCCCACCTCACACTCGTTGGTTATACAAGGAGTTAAAGGATGCTCACAGCCAAGTCTCCTCCCCAGAACTGGTGCATGCACCTGGGAAGGGCCCAGCCCTGCTGAGGTGTCATTCATAATGGACTCCCAGAGACAGGCAGCACTGAGCTCAACCTAACAAAGCTGGAGACTGAGGGCTCCCAAGAGAGAGCCAACATCCACATCTTCTCCTAGGGCTCGCTTCAAATCCCCGCCTCCGCTGGCAGAGCAGGATGTCCACATTTAACAGTGCCCTCTGCATGCGACTGTCAATTTCTCCACTGGAGCCAGGCTGGAGGTAATCCAAACTTCACTTGCATTTGGCTCTAGAGTATGTTTTTGTGTTTACAGTTGATGCTCTAGGAATCTGGACTACTTCGAGCTACATGATATACTCACAGAACACCAGCGCTAGAGAATCTCCATTAGTTCAGCAAGAACAGGCCCTACTGTGTGCTGGTCACTGCCGTTGACACTGGGTGTACCTCAGGAGACAAAAGCTACATCCCTGCACTGGTAGAGCTTACGCTCCAGAGGGGGAGATGACAAAGTCAGTCAAATACGGGAAATGTCAGGTGGTGACGGAGAGAGAGCCATGCAGGAAAAGGGGACCCGGAGTGGGGGTGGGGGAAGCAGCAGAGGCTGTCACTCCACACAGGGTGGCCAACAGGCCGGGAGGAGGCGAGGGAGCCAGCCCTGTGCCATCTAAGGGAAAGCTCTGCAGGGAGAGGCCAAAGCAGGCACAAAGGCCTTAAGGCAGAAGCATGCCTGAGGAACACAGCCACCACTGTGGCTGGAGCAGAGGACAGGGAGATGGCAGGAGTAAAGCCGGAGCAAAAAGGGGCCCTCAGAGGCCACTAGAGACCTTGATCAAGGAGGGTCTTGAACAGAGGAGTGACATGGTCTGCTCTGGCAACAGACTAGAAGGCAGGGGGTGTAGGCAAAGGCAGGGAGCCCCCTGGAGGCTTGTGAAACAACACAGGGCAGAGGTGAGGGCAGGCCATGTGTGCTGGCTCAGGCCTAGGATCTCGGCACTTTGGGAGGCCAAGGCAGGAGAACTGCTTTCACCCAGGAGTTCAGGACTAGCCCGGGCAACGTGGCCTGACACCACCTCTACAAAAAACTTAAAAATTCACTGGGTATGGTAGCGTGCACTTGTGGTACCAGCTATCCAGGGGCTGAGGCAGGAGGATTAACTGAGCCCACAAAGTTGAAACTGTAGCGAGCTGTGACTGTGCCACTGTACTCCAGCCTGGGCAATAGAACAAGACCCTCTCAGAAGTAAAATATAAAAATAAAAAGGTAAGAGCTGTTTGGACCAGGGAGAAGACAGAAGTGGTGAGAGTCACTCTAACTATCTGGAGGGTAGAGCTGATGGGACCTGCTGCGTATAGGGTACAGGTATGAGACAGCGAGGAGTTAAGGAGAAACTGAGGTTTGTGGCCTGAAAGGTGGAGCTAGCTGGCCTAGTTTCATTTTACAGGAGGAGGAAACTGAAGCCCAGGGAGGAGAGGTCGTGTCCAAAGTCACACACTTATTCCAGGGATTAGAACACCCAGCAAGTGCTTCTCCACTGCTCTACGCAGCAGCTCCACGGACACGATGGTGACCAGCCCGGTCACGCCAGACAGCCCCCAGCCCCAAGGGACCGCCAATACTCAAGTGCATCATGTAAATTAGGGTAAGATGCTGGGTACTGAGCACACAGGCCTCGCCCAGAGAGGACACCCATGGTCCACAGCTGCCACACAAGAAAGAACCTGGTGTGGCAGAAATTCCCATTTTCCCCTAGAGAACCCAAAATCTAGATTTTGATTTTGTTTTTTATTTTGAGAGAGTCTCACTCTGTTGCCTAGGCTAGAGTACAGTAGTGTGATCCTGGCTCACTGCAGCCTCCACATTCCAGGTTCAAACAATCCTCCCACCTCAGCCTCCTGAGTAGCTGGGAATACAGGCACATGCCACCACCAATGCCTACCTATTTTTTGTAGAGATGGAGTTTTGCCATGTTGCCCAGGCTGGTCTCAAATTCCCGGGCTCAAGCAATCTACCCACCTCAATCTCCCAAAGTGCTGGGATTATAGGGATGAGGCACCGTACCAAGCCCAAAGATCTAGATTTTAATGAAAAAAAAAAAATCCAATTTTAAAAGGTGACTCAATTGCTTAGTAACATGAGGTCAGTGAAAGGAGCTGCATGTGCAGACCGAGTTCACTTCACACAGGGCGCCAGTTTGGAAACCGCTTTGGAATTTCTCTCACGACAGCCTCACAGGCCTTGTTTGCTTACAGTTTGCCCAGGGTTAGGGTACAGAATCAAGATTTGAATTCAAGATGGTCTTTTATTTCAACGTTTGCGTCAGCAGATGATATTCATTATCACTATAAATAGTCAGTAACTTCCAGCAGTCTCAGTGGGCCTCCTTTCGGACCAGAAAGAGATCAAGTAGCTGTCCATCATTCAGCTTCTTCCTTTAAAGTTAAACTTTGGTTTTATGTTATTCTTTACAGAGTACTAATACTAAGATGAGCCCGTAAGTACAACCCAGAATTTGGAAAATCTTTCCCAATACTGTGCAACGAGCCTTTCAGTTATATGGAGGCCAGGCGTGGTGGCTCACACCTGTAATCCCAGCACTTGGGAGGCCGAGGAGGGTAGATCACCTGAGGTTGGAGTTCAAGATCAGCTTGACCAACATGATGAAACCCCGTAAAGACACAAAATTAGCTGGGTGTGGTGACTATAATCACCACATGCCTATAATCCCAGCTACTCAGGAGGCTGAGGCAGGAGAATCACTTGAACCCGGGAGGTGGAAGTTGCAGTGAGCCGAGATTGTGCCATTGCATTCCAGCCTGGGCAACGAGAGCAAAACTCCATCTAAAAAAATAAGTTAAGTTATACGGAGAATAACAGAGCCTTGGAAATAGTCACCAATGTAGGAAACAATTTCTGCCACCCGAGAACACTAAGACTCTAATAGTTAGGAACTCAAAAGCTTTCGGGACTGGGCAGGTATTCTAGTCTTGCCAAAACATCTAAGTTAGAAATGACAAAACATTCTTGGTAAGTTCAAGTTGCTGGCCATTTGTGACAGGCAGAAGACATGTTACTGAATGCACATAAAGGACACACATACGTCTGGGTTTGGGGAGGTCTCCTTGCCTAGACACTCTCAGGCAGAATGAAATATTTACCTTCCCTTGTAAGCCATCGCCTTCTACCTAACATCTATCTATTTTCTGTCTTTGTTACAAGTTTCCATTTCAACGCTGAGGGCATTGGGTAAAAATCGTTCCAGGACAAGGCCACTATCTGTGCAGCCCCTTCCCCCCACTCCTTTTTCTAGGAATGCAGTTGACAATGCACACGAAGAGGCAGAGGCGGGACTCATGCTTTCTCACGATGAGATCTTATCAGGTTAAAGTGTATCAACTGCCACTAGTCAACTGGTTTTGACCTACAGAATGGGCAATTTCCTGCGGTCCAACCTATTTCCACATGATCGAGAGGGACAGAGACTGTCCAGAACTTGAAACCATCTACACCCACATGGACCGACTTGTGACTACTGAGCACCTGAAAGGTGGCTAACTTGACTAAGAGATTAAATTTTAAATTTTACTTAATTTGAATTGTTTTAAACTTAAATTGCCACTTGTGGTCACTGTATTGAACACAGTTCTAGACAGTGGCTTTTTCAGGCAAAAACTAGGTCTCACTTGCAGTGTTTGACGGCCCACTACACAGGAGACGCTTGGTGAAAAAAATGAAATGAAAAACACTTTCTACACTGTCAGATTTTCAAATGCCTCCCCACCTTCCTGCCACTGAAACTCTGAATTTTGATCTTCAAGTTCTGTATCCTCCCTTGGATAATTACTGTCCCAGGAAGGTGAAGATATATGGCCAGGAGGGAATGTTCGGAAGGTCGGGCCGCACCACATAGGAACTGGACAACAGGACCTGGCGGACAACCTCCTGACCAGCTGGGCCTCCATGTTCTCATCCACTGAATGGTGACAACCATTCCCACCCACTAGAACAGAGTTACTGTAAGGCCTAAACGTAAACCAAAGTTGTGGAATCTGATTCTAGAAAGTGAACCTTAAAAATCAAGTTGGGCTCAGCTTCATTTATCCAATGAGACAGCTGGGAAGAGCTTAAAAACCATAAAATAAAATACAGCTAAAAAACCAGTATTTTTGATGTTTATAGGCCTGGCCTTAACCACTGCAGGCCCAGCATGCACAGATGAACAGCACAGTCCCTGCCTTCATCATTCTGACTTGACCATTATTTTTGTTTCCCCTGAAACAAGATTTTAGCAAAGAAAAACTCGCTGTCTTAACAGATCTGTTGATCCTCTAAGTGTCATCTGTCATTAGTTAAAATTCCCAGAGTTAAAGGGCAAGAAGAGTCTGGGGTCCTGACACTTTTAAAAGGTGTCCCCGCTACGTAATAAACCAATACTCCAATTCAATCACTGGCCTTCAACCATTTAAACTGACTTTGGTGCTATGTAATTATTGCAGCCTGTTGAGTTAGGGCTCATTTCAGCAAAGAGCATAATTGCTCAAATGTGACTTGATTTAAGATTTATTTAAAACTCTCCTATCACCAAAAAATATTCATACACCATGATACCACTGTAACTTCTTAATCTCTTTAAATGTTCAGAGGCAGATTCCTAACTATGAAAGGTAAGAGTTGTTACAGTACCTAGAACTCTAAACCCTCTGCTTCTAAACCCCAAGATCCCTTTCTGGTCTCCCCTCCCCCAACCTTAGTCTCCTCCAGGCCTCCGCTGGCCTAGGAACCCTGCAAACCGGCTTTGCGGTGGTGCTCCATGCAAAAGGAAAACTTCACCTACTAGGAGGTCTGCCCCCGTCTTTGCTTCAACCGAGAGGGAAGTGGCACCTCCGGGACCTCAGAACCGGAAGCTTCTTTCTGGAAGGGAAAGAGGTTGGCAGATCATAGTGGGAGTGACCTTTGGTAAGTCCATAAACGAGTCAAGACATCACATAGTAAGTGGCATGTTGCAGGATCACAGATTTCTCTAGGTGTCGGATTAACAGGAAGTTAAATAAGGAGAGTGAGGAGAGAGGCAGGGGCAGTGGGAGAATGCCCCCAGCTGCACCGGCAGTGTGGCGGAGCGGGGGGTGTTAATATTCGCAGTTGTTCTGGGAGTGCTGGACAAATGTCCTGGCTCTCTGGGGACACCCAGTTCCGAAGAGGTATATAACGTAAGATGTGAGGCCCTACCAGACTCATTTCTCCACATTCCTTAAAATGCCATCCAGATGGCCCCTACCCTGAAGGTTCCAGCACGCACAGTGAATAGCTGAGCATTGGCGTGGGAGGCTCCTCAGGGACCTCAGAGTTTCATTTCCTTGGTGCTTCCCAGTCTCTCCTAACCTCTGACCTCCCAGAGTAATTGCCAAATTGCCTTCTGTTTGTACAAGGTCCCAGCACTTCCCGGCGTGGTTCCCGACTCTGTGAGTGGGTGGCGCTGTCTCCAGGCCACAGACAAGGAAACTTGGGTTCAGAGGGGCTAAGGGACCTGCGAGGAGGTGGCCAATACATGGCCTGGACGGAGACAGGCCCCACTTTCCTCCTGTGTCCCGCGCGGCCCTACAAACGCATCCCAACTGAAACAGCCAACACCTGTGGCTCCTTACTGCAAGTGCTGGGTCTCTACAGCTTTTCTCGCAAATCGAACCTAAGAGGAGCCCGGTTTGCAGACGGTAAAATGGAGACCCCGAGCGAAACAATTTAGCCGGGATCACCCTCGCCGGTGCCGGGACACTCGAGCTAAAACTCGAGACTTATCAACCGGGGAGGGGTCCCTGAAGCATCGCGGGCGCCCCAATGGAAGCGCAGACTCCGGCCTCCCTCCCCTGCCCAGGGCGCAGAGGGGGAGCCGGGCGGGCTGGGGCGGGCGCTAGGCCGGGTGCCAGCGCGCTTGGCCAGCCCGGAGGTGTCCACTTCCGCCCGGGGCTGGCACCGCCGGCCCATTCATCGTGGCCTCGGGCGGAGCTGGCCAAGCCGGGCCGGGCCCCGGGCGCCCTCGTCCCCCCGCCGGACGCCCTCGAGCCAGGCTCCACGCAGCCCCGCCGGGAAACTGTGGCCCCGGCCCCGCCGCCAGGGGGAGCAGGGAGCCGCCTCCCGCACTCCGGGAAGTTGCCACCGCGGCCGCCCGGCGTCCATGCCCTGGACAGACCCCGGCTCCCGGCGCTGCGAGCCCCGCGGCCCCGGCCCGCCCCGTCGGAGGCCATCCCAGCCCTGCGAAGCGCCAGCTGGCCGTGTCCCGGGACCGGCGCGCTGGGCCCGCGGGCCCCCATTCAATACCGCCCTCCTCCCTTCAGCCGGCCTCCGCCGCCTTCCGCCCGCACCCCCACCCCTCCGGCCCGGACTCCAGCCGGGCAACGTCATCCGGCGGCTTCCCGAAACTTAACCCCTTCCTCCGCCAGCTGTGCGCCGCCCCGCCCCGCCGCCAACTTTCTTCGCCCAACTTCGGAGCGCGCCAGCCGGCCCGACGGCCCAGCCGGGAGGGAGGGAGGCAGGGAGGGGTCGCCGCAGGTACCCCGACGACGAGGGCCGCGGGGTCCACTCGGCGGGGCGCGTCCTGCCTACGCCCCTGCACGGCGCTCGCCTAGCACCCCCGCCCCGAGTCTGACCCCGACCCCGAGGGTGCACGGCCGCGGTCGCGGCGGCGGCGGCGGGCGGGCTGGCGGGCCGGGGGAGGGGCCGCCCAGGAGACGTGTCACTCGCGGCGCAGCGCGGTCGGCCCTGGCTCCCCGACGGCCCGGCCCGCGCGCTGCCGCTGCAGGGCCCGGCCAAGTTTCTTACCTGCAGCCGGAGACGCGAGAGGGCAGAAGCCGCTGCCTTAGCAGCCGCCGCGGAGCCGGGAGAGAGGAGCCGGCCGCGCCTCCGCCGAGAAACCGCCCCCGAGCAGCTGCAGGCGCCGCGACCCCGACGCCGCCCGCCCCGTCCGCCGTCCGCTCCGGCCGCTCGCTGGCTGCGTGCGCGCGTGTGGAGTCGTGGCACTTTCTGCCTCGGAGCTGGCGAACGGCCCCCTCCGCCGGGATCGCCGCCTCCTGCCTTCCCCACCCGGGCCAGCCATTCATCGAGCCACCTCTTCCCATTGGTCCGCACCCCGCCACTCTGCCGGTCGCTGGCCAGTCAAGACGCGGGTGGCCGAGCCGCGGCGGCGGCCATTGGGCAGAGAGGAGGGTCTCCACCTCGGCCAATGGGAGAGGGGAGGAGCTGCGGGGAGGTGAGGAGGCGGGACCAAAGAGGGGCGGGGCCGAGCGGCGCGGCGCTCGGCTGTGCGCGGGGCGGGGCGGAGCAGGAACGCCCCGCCCACCTAGGGGGGTGGTTCTCCGGCCAGCTCCGCCCACTCTGGGCCAGCGGCGCTCCCAGCAGTCGCTGACTTGGAGCCGGCTCTGCTTAGGCGGGAAGCAGAAGGTTCGAGTCCCGGCGGCCCGGGGCCTGCGCTTCTGGATACCGCTGGACTGACATGGCGGTGGCTGTCACCCTGAACAGGGTTGCGCAACCGCGAACAGCCAAGGAAGCTGCTTTCTTTAAACTCAACTGACTTCCCCCGAAGCAGCGCCCCCTCCGGCCGCCGGATGTGAGGACAAGCTCTGCTGGGGGTCAGCCCAGGGACGACAAGTTATTTTCAAAGAAATGGAAATCAGCACCAGAAGGAATTTCCTTGAGTAAATGGAGGAATTGGGGTGGAAGAGCCAGAAGGTGCACAAGGAATTGAAGCGGATGTCATTGCCCTCGTTGTTAGGGAGGGTACAACTGAGGCGTGGTCTATTTAAGATACTCATCCAAACCACAGCCGGCAGAGCAATAATTAGATTCCACTCTGTGGCGTTTTATTCTATGCGATGGGGAAGGTGAGAGGTTCCGACCTAAGAAAACTCACCCGTGTCCCAGAAAAAGGAGCAACTGGTACTTCCTCATTCCCTGACTTTCCCCCCAATATCAGCCAACACTCAGTCTTCATAATCAATCAAGTCTTTCAATTAAAACAATTTTAGACTTGATTTTTCACCATTATGTCAGCGTCTCTTGAAGCCAACCCTCTGAACTTGAGCCAAAGCCAGCCTCTTTGGAATTTTGGATTCTGAGAGACCAAAGGCTGCCTAGACTGCCCACACCACTTCCCCAGCCCCCTTTGCTGCAGAATCCCATGCCTAACATCTATTTATTGGACAATTTTTAATCTTCCCCTCCCCCATTTGTCACTGGTACTGTACTACATGTTGTTAGAAAGATGTGAAAAATACAAGCTTTTATGGGGAATAAAGAGGGATTCGGTTGAAATTAAACCATTCATTCCTATTTTTAATCTTGGCAGTTCCTTAGCCCATTAATGATTAATCAATGGGAATTAACCTGGATTAGCTCTCAAACACTCAGTCATTTTCCAGCAGTGAGACCCGGCTTCAAATGAAAGTCAAGAATCCCAGCTTCTGGCTGGCAATTGCTACCAATGAGTCCTACTTGACCAGGACTGGGCCATCTAACCTTTCTGAACATGGGTATACTCCTTTAGGACTATCACTCCCTCCTCTTGGTTTTAGGAAGGAAATTCATTCATTCATTCACTGGTGTTTGTTGAGTGCCTGGTATACCATGCTAAGCTGGACAAGCAGCCTGGAGTGAACATGGGTCAAGGGAAGATGCAGCTGCCCTTAAGGGCCTGTCCAGAGGCAGGGACCTCCTTTATCCAGTTCACTGTTTGTCTTTTCTCAGAAGCAGATCCTGGCAGTAGGGTTTGTTCAGTCATTCATTTGGGGGATTATCATAAGAAAAATTGGTGGAGAAGTGGGATGAGAAAGAACCAGTAAATGGACCAACAAGCCAGTGACTGCTGTGGGCACACAGAGCTCAGTGTCTCCGGGGATGCTGTGAACTGTGTAGAACGCATCCAGAGAAGTCCCAGCTGAGAGGTGAGGACCTGGTTATTTATTCACCCACTCCCAGAAGGTTAACGGCTCCTTCTGGGGGGCTTTAACACTTGTGCCTGATCAAGCTGGAGAAAGCCTTGTAGCAAGAAGCCCTTGGCAGAATGGTGAGCACCCGAAGGCATGTTGGGGGGGCCACAGCAGTGTCTCCCACACTTAGCCAGCATCCTACACAGCACCTGCACAGAATAGAGGCTCTATGAATATATGTGTTCTGTAAATATTGTCACATGAGCAATAACAGTACAAAGTCCTTAGAAGTGAGGAGTCTGCAGAAAAGGGGCTCCCTGTCAGTTCCCTCCCATAACTTAATGTTTGATTTGGCCTCAACACAACATTTGTTTCAGGAAGGAAGAGCAGCCCTGTCTAAACCTTTGCATTTCTCCATCCCTGTCCCTTGTTCACCCACAGCCAACCCCAGTGTGCTGTGAAGACTTCCAGCATCATCATCCTCATGCCCTTTGAGCAAATAAATCAGTCTCACTGCACCCAGCTCTGTCAGAGCTAGTCTGCCCACCCACGGGGTGGCCTTACTCTCACAGCCACTGCTGTGCCTGTGGACACCCATCCTTAGCCCCCTGCAGCCTCCTCAGCTCTCCCAAGCCATATCTGGGAAAAAACAGACCCATCCTCAGGACTAGACGGACAGGGGTCGCCTGTGGGGGGAGTGAGAGACATCCTCCCAGGCTCAAGTCTTCTGTCAAATCATGCAGCCCTCCAGCAGCTTGAGAGAGCCCATCCCACTGTCTGGCCTCCAGGCTGTAGCTGCCCCAGGTCCCTGCTATCCCCCGATGGCAGTGCAGCGAGGGGCTCTCAGATGGGAACAGGTCATTTCAAACCGACAGCAGTCTGGGAGCCCCCGGGCAGGGGAGTTATCTCACCCTGAGGGGAGCAGAGGGTGACAGCAGAGGCTTGAAGGAATGGCAGGTAGCCAGGCCAAAAAGGGCACAGTGGCAAGGAACAGCATGGGCAAAGTAAGGTATGATACTAGCCAGGCATGGTGGTGTGCTTCTGCAGTTCCAGCTAGCAGCAGGGTTGTTGGAGCCCAGGAGTTGGAGGTTGGAAGAAGGAGAGTGGGAAGAGGGAGACGGAGAGGAAGAGGGAGAGGGAGAGAAAGAAAGGGAGAGGGAGAGAGAAAGGGAGAAGGAAAGGGGGAGAGAGAGGCATGGTGATCTGAGATCACATCATCTCAGTTGATCTGTTGAACAATGCAGTTGTTGGTAAAGGCTGAAGGATGAGGGAGAGGCTGGGAAGAGCTGATTCTCCACAGGTGATTATAAGGGAAATAGGGAACTTTCGTAGGGTGGTGCAGATGTTTCATAACTTGATTATAGCCGTTACATGGCTGTGGTAAAACTCATCAGATTGTACACTCTTAAAAAGGATACATCTGGTTCAGAAGCAATTTTTGCTTCAACCAACCTGACAAAAAAAAAGATGCATTTGGTTTTAGGTGCGTATTAAAAACAAATAAAGCATTCTTATTAGAAAAAATTAAACAAACAAGAATAATTACCTAATATGGTCCATTAACTCATGACAATGCTTTGCTTTCTATTACTAAATTGCAAATATTATCTGAAAGAGTAGACAAAAAGATGAGAATATACTATATCTTACAGTTCATTTGTTTATTTATTGAGATGGAGTCCCTCTCTATCGCCCAGGCTGGAGTGCAGTGGCATGATCTCGGCTCACTGCAACCTCCACCTCCCAGGTGCAAATGATTCTCTTGCCTCAGTCTCCTGAGTAGCTGGGATTACAGGCACCTGCCTGTAATCCAGCTAATATTTGTATTTTTAGTAGAGACAACATTTCATCATGTTTGCCAGCTTGGTCTCAAACTCCTGATCTTGAGATCTGCTCGCCTCAGCCTCCCAAAGTTCTGGGATTACATGTGTGAGCCACCGCACCCGGCCTATACATTATAGTTTAAAAAGAGATTTTGCTTTGTCAACAACTATGAAAGGATGACAGATGACAAGTACAGTAAAATATCACGTGAAAATAAAGCCACTGTGATAATATAGAACATGTTTAGGTCTTTGGCGCCAGGTACCAGTTGAGACATGCAACAGATATGTAAAGTTATGTAACTCTCAGAACAACCCTATAAGGGAGGTAGAGTTATCTCCATTTTAGAGATGAGGAAACTGAGGCACAGAGAGATTGAGGAACCTGCCCATGTCACAGGGCTTGTTGGAGGAGGAACATTGGGCCCCAGGGCCCATGGCATAACCCCTGCCTTCAGCACCAGGTTGCAGAAGGTGTGCTAAGCCTATAGAAGGGGGCAGGAGGCCGGGCACGGTGGCTCAAGCCTGTAATCACGGCACTTTGGAAGCCCGGGGCGGGAGGATCATCAGGTCGAGAGATTGAGACCAACCTGGCCAACATGGTGAAACCCTGTCTCTACTAAAAACACAAAAGTTAGCCGGGCGTGGTGCCACATGCCTGTAGTCCCAGCTACTCGGGAGGCTGAGGCAGGAGAGTTGCTTGAATCTGGGAGGCAGAGGTTGCAGCGAGCCGAGACTGTGCCACTGCACTCCAGCCTGGCACCTGGCGACAGAGCAAGACTCTGTCTCAAAAAATAAATAAATAAAAATAAAATAGAAGGGGGCAGGGCTTGAGCCTAACCCTCTGGGAGTGGCAACTCAAGGAAAGGTTTGTGATTGATGACAGCTGCGATGACTTCTTTGATAGTCTATATTTTGGGTGGATGCTCAACTAGGTTTGGGGCCCACAGGGTTGGGAGACCCATCCATCACAGTATCTCAAGTGAGAGGCAATGAGGGCTGGAATGGGGCAGTGGCAGGGGTAGGCAAGGTCCTTCATGAGGAGTATTAGGACATGAAGTAGTAGAAAGTGAGGCTTGGGGACCAGCAGGTGTGAAGGAGAGAGAGGGGTTACCTGTGAGCCCCTGTTTTTGGCCTCAGGGACAGGGAGCATGGTGGTGTCACTGCTGGAGCAGGGCACACAAAAGGATGAACAGGTCGGGGGCAGAGGCTGG